TTGTCTGTTGTAGATGTGACAGTTTTTTGACTTCCGGGATATATGTATAATCTCTTTTTTTTACTTCCGAGATTTTGTAATTACCTTTTTTTTGACTTAGACCCGTATCAGCGACACTTTTTTACTTCACAGGAACGGGATATATGTATAATCTCTTTTTTTCTTTTTTTACTTCACAGGAACAATGTCCATGCTATCTACGGGTTGTCTTACTGCCTCAATTCCTTCCTCGGGGTAGTAATCTGCATTCTTGTGGCCTTGATCGTCACTCTGTTCACGGGTGAGTTCAGTGTCTATAAAGATCTTTGTGTATTCTTGTTGTTTTGAGAGTTCGCGGAGTCCAAGTTTGATATTCGTTTGTGTGAGACAGACTGAAAATTTTAGATCTATTTTTTTCACGTATTCGTTATAGAAAGGGCAAAATGGATTGTAACTGTTGAATATATTATTATTATTATTATTATTATTATTCTTATTATCATTAATACGTTATACTCCGTAGCTTGCACTGTTACCTAGATATTATTATTTTTTTTTTTTTCGTAAATTTAAGAATCTGGAAAAACAAATGATTAAGTAAATTACTAACTTATAAGAGATAATATACAATAAAGAGTTGAGAATTAATTGCATCCTTGTGTTTCATCAAAATAGCAGAACAAAAAAGCTCTCTTCAAATTCATATCTGAACTGTCAAAATGAAACACTGAGGGAGAGAAAGAAGCATGACCTCTCCAGCTTGTCTAAACCTCCTCTTCTGGGTTTTCACTCCAGCCTAAGTAGAGCTTCAGAACTCGAAAGCTCAGAAACGTCACTTATTCTGTTCCTGTTGGCGTTTCATTTTATCTTTATGTACACGTTACTTTTTCATTTTATTGAATTAATTTTCATGTCCCTTCCGCCAGGCACCAACTCCAAGGAAGACGTCGACAGGAGATACGTGAACGAAACGGCGTGGCGGCTCTTCGAAAAATGGACCCTCATCCAGGGTAGAGAATCCCTTATCAAGAAGGTCCTCCGACGCTCAGCTTCTCCCTCCGTGGAGAATAAGGAAAATAAGAAAGTGGAAGAGAAGGAGATCGAATTGGGAGATGCAGAGGAAAAGGAGATATTGGCCAGTAACCGAGAACTTTCGGAGGTAAAGGAGGACGGCGACGCGGCGGGTCGAGGAGCCGTCTGAAGTGCATTGGTTAACTTTTTTCTTTTTCTTTTTTTGAAATTGAAAGCACAAATATCGACGCGGTTCTTTTTCAAGTGCATGGCAAAAGTTGAAGAGAGTGTTTTGTGATGGTGTTAATTTTTTCTTTTCCTACTGTCGGAGAAGAAATTAAGAAAGAATTTTATGAAGTGACTTCTCTCGGTATAAGTGCAATGGAAAAGGAACGCAGACAGGAAGACGAAAAGATTGGTGCATACGGGACAGGAAGTCAAATGCAATTTATATTCTTTGTGTCTAATATTAAGGAATAGCAATTCTTGAATCTAATATATATCGCTCTCTTTCCCGATCTTAGGCTATATCAGCATCTGTGTCTGCGTGTGTGTGTGCATGTGTTTGAGAGAGAGAGAGAGAGAGAGAGAGAGAGAGAGAGAGAGAGAGAGAGAGAGAGAGAGAGAGAGAGAGAGAGAGAGAGAGAGAGAGAGAGAGAATCCATGTTTGTATGATTGTGTGTGTGTTTACGTGTGTCAATGCCTGCTTGTCTGTCCATATTTATATAAATGTATATACACATTAGATATACGTAGAAGAATTCTATTCATGTACAAATGATTTTGTCACTAGTGCAGTCTCTTAGTGATAAGGACCAGTGATTCTGCAAAAGGCAAGAACACGGTTTTTTCGATCAATTTTTTAGGCCATTTTAACACGAATGCAAAACGTGATAACCTTCGATCATTCTAACTAGCAGTGTTGTTTGGGGGAAGGCTAGATCAGTAGCAACTCGAGGAGGTGTGATGGCGCCCCACAGGGCTATTTTGATGATTGTTCATTGAAAATATAACCATTAAAATGATTATTTTTCCTTTTTTGTAAATTAAAAAGACGAAAATGATCGACCATACTCACAAAGCATCCGTAACTTTTGTGTCATCAAAATGTTTTTTTTTTTTTTCCTAAAATAGAATCAGAAGCCATGACACCTCCCTGAGTTACTACTGATCTAGCCTTCCCCGTGTTGTTTGAGGTCAGTATTCTTCGTGTCTGAAATAGGCAATATTTTCCCCTTTTCTTTTATTTCATGAGAAGAGATACACCAAAGGTTTTAGTTGTTTCATAACAATGAGTATGGAATTCTCATGTATATTATTTTGTAATGTTATGAAATCTAACTCAGTTAAAACAACAGTTAGTAGGTATCACAGCTAGGAAGCCTATTATATAACTTTATGTGAATTTGACAGAGTAAAATAGGGGTGTCATACTCATATACTACGGCGGGCCAGATATAAAAAGATAATTTATTGTAATCGCTAGTTAAAAAATGAATGTAATATCTAT